TTACTGAACAAGCCAAGTTCTTAGAAGGACTGGAGTGTACCCTACCCCAGAGAACACATGCTTGCTCTTCCCAAGTCCCCCCAGGCTGGGCGCTGCGCCCGGCCACCTGCAGGCCCCAGCCGCCTGCTGCTCATCACAGCGCTGTTTCGTAGATTACCCCGAGAGCAGGAGAAGCCCAAAGGCACAGAAAGCTCCGGTGTTTTTCCACGTTTTCCCGGGGCTTAAGGCTCTGTCATAACGGTTGCACTGACGACCTGAAACCGTGCAGGATGTGCGCAGTGGCACCGAGCGCAGCTGCAGTCTGTCAGGTGCGTGTCTTCCTTGGAGGCCAAATGGAAGCATCACCTTCTCACTTTGTTTCTGTTTTGAAAGTGTGGACCTGAAACTGTGAAAGGAAGTTTAAGGGACGGTGGTGAGTACTCTGACGCAGTGCCCTGGGCGACGGGGTTACAGCGCCAGGCACCTGCCCTGCTTCCCTCTGCAGCCTCGTCCGCATCGGCACCTGTGTTCTTACTTTTTTTATTTTTGTTTTATTTTTGTTTTTGTGTTTTAAATATATTTTAGTTGAGGTATAGTCAGTTTTCGGTGTTGTGTCAGTTTCTGGTGCCCAGCTCAGCGCTTCAGTCACGTAGGAACGTACACATATTAGTTTTCATAGTCACTTTAACCGTAAGTTACTACAAGATACTGAATATAGTTCACTGTGAGCACCTGCGTTTTTAAAGCTCCTATTTTATTGGCTTTTACTGAGACTTTAAAGAAGTTTCTCTGCATGTCTGTCCCTTACATGAGGCGCCTGTAAATTCTCTTGAGCTCTCGGACCCTGGCTTTGGTAGGAAGGGAGGGGCATGCTTTCAAGTTAAGCTTCTTCACAAATAAACAATACAACGGTTTGCCTGCCTGGAAAACAAATACAAAGAACTGGTCAGGAAGCAAGATGATGTTTTTATCAAATAAAATCTAACCAATTAAATCCAACCAGAGCAAATTAACGTCCTTCTGTGGTGGAAAACCTGCAGGGCAGTTGTTAGGGTTCAGCTGCTCCTGTCCCACTGTCTTTATCCTCGTTCATGTTGCTAGCTCTGTAGGAATTGATGGCCCCGTTGAGGCCCCGCCTGGGCTGGTGGTGACTTTGGGGCTCGTGCAGAGGCATCCCTGTGGCCCCCTCGAGCCCACCTGGCAGCATGCAGCCCACTCCCCACACTCGCTTCTGCCCGCCTCACTGAGGTCCTGGGAGAGGCCTTGCCTGCCCCCCAAAAAGCCTCCCCTTGTCAAGGTCCTTCGCGGAAGCCCCGCGTGTGTATCATGGCCCCTTAGAATTCAGGCTGCCTGTCAGCGCATCGAAGGCTCCAAGAGACCCGCTCAACATCGTCAAACCAGACCCCGTCTTCGCCAACACCTACTGACGCCCACATTCAGGCAGTACCCCAAGGGACACACGGTCCACTCCAGCCAAGGTGTCCCTAGGGGATGGCAGCAGCCAGCCAGGGTGTGTGTCCCTGCAAGGGGCTGGGATGGAGAAGCGGAGTGAGGGTGCATTTGTTAAACTACCAGATGCCGTCTCAGCGGGGAGCCCAGGTGGGTGAGTGGCCGCAGAGGGGAGACATGGCTGTAGGCGGGGAGGACGGGCATGCACCGGGGGCTGTGCGCTCAGGCCTGTCACCGAGGGCACGACCGCGGCCGCTGGGCACCTCACCCTCCAGCTCACACTGGGAGACAGGACAAAATATGGGGAAAACTGTTCAGACAGTGGACAGCAGGCAGTAGGGACTGATGGCCGGGAGAAGGGATGTTGGTAGAACTGAGACCTGAAGCCCTCGGGACCTTGGGGGCAAAGATGTCTGAGGCACAAGATACATGAACTGGTAAAGAAAAAAGTGACAAAGTGGACTTCATCAAAATGAGAAGTCTTCACTCTTCTGAAGACACTATTAACCAAATAAGAATGCAGACTGGGAAAAACTGTTTTCAGTACGTGTATCTGACGAGAACTTTGTATCCCAACTATTCAGTGATGTCCAAACAACTCATTTTTTTAAGAAAAGGCAAAAGATTTGAGCGTACATTACGAAAGAAGATGTAAGAATGATCAGGAAGCACGTGAAAATTTATCAACATCGTTAGTCACGGGAAATGCAAACTTCAGCCCTATGAGGTCCTGCTCGGAGGCCGAGTTAAGAGACTGGACGGGGCGGGGGCGGGTCAGCAGGCCTTTTGGGTGGTGGGAGCTCTGCCCTGTGACCTGGCGGCAGGCTGGAAGTTACAGTCAGGTGAGTTCATTTATAAAAGTGGTGATTTTTTTTTTAATTTGATTGAGAAGCTGGAGAAACTTCTGGCATAGTGAGAACGGAAGGCCTCGTCGGTGCACTTTACAAAGACGGGGCCCGCGGGACCTGCGTGAGGGTCGTGGGTCGGGCCACGTGCGCGGGGCTTCTTCCCTGCACGGCTGCCGGCACTGCCGGGTCGTCGGGGGCTCCTGAACACCGGGCACCCTGAGTCCCTGAGTTCTGAGACTAACAAGAGTAGTTGAAGATGTGGAGGAGTTAGAAAGTACTCTGCCTAGTCAACCTGATGAAGAAATTACAGGTTGACTCTGGTAAAGAACTCAGGCCCGGAGTTGTGCCCCTAGCAACGTCCACCTTCTGAGAGCAGATACCGATGTCTCCCCCTAGAGAGCGTGCTGCCTGGGACCCGCGGTGGTCTGAGAGTCAGAGCAGTTGCGCTGGTGACTGAGGAACCCGACATGGCAGACAGAAGTGCCCGGGTCTCACATGTCATGGCGCTGGCAGGTGGGACGGCGCCGTTAGATTCTCCTTCCTGGTCCTCTGCCACTGGTTCCGTCCCAGCCTGGACGCTCCCTTGCAGTGAGCTTGTTGGAAAAAACCCAGTCCCGCTTGCAGGGAGATGGGATAGATGTCCTGTCCTCATTCCTCCCGCTAAGGCCGCTGCAGATCCTGGCTGCCACACGGAGCACTCAGACGACGGCCTGAGATGGGTGAGGGGGCGCCCCGGGGATCCCGGGGCCTGGACAGCACTCAGCTGAGCCCCGGGGGAGAGCTCAGTCCTCCTCAGTCAGGGGCCGGCCGGGAGGTGAGCAAAGGGCTTGAGCAGCGGGCGTGGGGCGGCCCAGGAGCCCACACAGAGGCTTCGGCACCACCGGCCGCCGGGAAGTGCAGGTGTAAACCAGGATGACAGTGGCAGGGAGTACATGTGCCCAGCGACGGTGGGAGTTCAGGGTCTGTGCCCTCATGCCTGCGGTGGGACAGGAGGCCTGGAGGACGGTCGGCAGTTTCTTCTGAGACTGGATATGCCCACCACGCAGTCCGGCCGGCACTCCTGCCTGAAGTAAATGAAAAAGCCCGTGCAGTGAATGTACACAGCACTTAGACGTGTAATGACCCAAAGCCCTTCAGTGAGTGACCTGGGTGCACGACCTGTGTGCCCACAGCCCGAGTGCGTGACCTGGATGCCCCCAGGGGACCAGGTTGGGTCCCCTGGAGTGACAGGAGCTGCAGGATGGAGCACAGCTCGGGGGCTGCCGGCTGAGGAGGGTGGGAGAAGGGGCCCCGGGCAAGGGGCCGGGGTCTCTGTTTCCTCTAATCACTGTACGCAAGTCTGCAGCGACCTCAGAATAGAAGGTTTAATTAGGAAAAAGCAGATGCCACTGCCTTTGGGCCTCTGTGGCCTGTGGGCCTGGCCCTGAGCTGTGGGTCCATGCGGGTCGCAGGTTGCTGGCTTGTTTCTGTTCTGTCTGGTGCTCGCGCCTTTGGCCTCTGGTTCCAGAGGTGTGTGCTCGTGGTGCCGGGTCCCTCCCGTAACCTGCCTCTGCTCTCCCTCCCAGGTATGCGACTGTCTACACCATGTTCCCGGTGTTCTCCCTGGTGCTGGACGAGGACGTGAGGCCGGACACGGCGATGCTCTACCCCGAACTCTACAAGGACCTCACCAAGGTGTGCCCAGTGACCCGGGGGGACGGTGTTTTCTCACGCTGGTACAGTCCAGCTCTGACGTCACGTGTACAGTGGTCGTTTTAAAGGGTGTGCCTTGCCCCTCGTGCGACTTTCGGGAGTGAGGGCCCAGTGGCTGAGGGAGCTCTCGCCTCTTTCTGTGTAAGGGAGACTCCAACCTGTGGCTCCAGCTGGTCCGCGTTGCTGCCCCGGGGCAGGCCCGCCGGGCACAGGACGCAGCACGCAGGACCCGCAGCCTCGGCCCTGCTCCCTCTGAACGCCCCCGATCCTCTCTGGGTGTAGATTTCGGAACTGGAGAACAGTCAGAGACACATTTCTGTCCCTGAGACCAGTGCTGCTGTTGCAACGATACTGCTAAAGAAGAAGTCCCGGGTGCAGAGGCCCAGAGACGCACTCTGGTAGGATTGGGTGTTCCCAAAGAAGCTCTAAATGTGCCGCTTGCTTTATGAAAGCTTGTTTTCACAGCGGGATGGAGGGCGTGCCCAGCGCCCTGAGTGAGCCGGCCTCCCCGCAGGCCCCGGCGTTCCATTTCTGTGCAGGTGACCAGCAGTTAGAACATGTCAGTTCCCTGGAGGCGGGACGCCAGCCCACGTTGTTGTGACAAGAGCTCAATCACTCGTCTTCTCCAGGCTCTTCTTCAAGACCCCAAACCTGTACTTTTTGTCTTTTTGATACATCTTTAAAAAGCACGGTAGCGCTAAGGTGCTCAACGAGCTGACCTGATCAAAGTGTTTTTCTTACTGAAGTGAGAGACACGTTTTGAAGCTTCATGTTGCTTCTGAGCACAGCCCTCTGCGCCCGCTGGCCCAAGCGGTACCTGTGCCGCCTCGGCGGGCGGCGCCATGCGGGGCTGCGCTGGGGGCTTCAGACTCAGAGGACGTCGCGCTGGTCTCACCACGCCTACGCTCAGCCAGGGAGAGAAATCAGGAGTTCGAGACAAACGAACTGACAGTCGAGCAGCCGCGTAGGACGCCTGCCAAGAGCGGCCACAGGGTGCAAGGCGCTCATCCCAGAAATAGCTTATCTGGTGGGTTCCGGGCAGAAACCTGAGGTCTCAGCAAATTCACGGACTACCTCAGAGGTGGGCAGGGCGCACACCCCGGTGCAACAGGGGAAGGCACGCCAATGTGCAGTAAAATACCCTTTTTTAACACTTACTTTTTATACTAAGAGTGTATATACTCCAGGCATCGCAGATCTGACTTACTGCTCTAGAAGATCAGCCAGTCCTCTCCCAGGACCTAAACCTCACCCGCACACATTATCTGTTCGCTGACTGTTTGGTGGATTCACAGGGAAGAAATGAATCAATTAAACAAAGGCCACTTTTCCTTCCCCTTCCTAAAACCACATGGTTTTCCTCCCTTACAGAGAAGGGTGTGTTGGTAACAACGCCTTGGTGTTCCTCTTTTGGAGGTCAAGTTTGGCTTTGAATTATTAAGCTTTTCTCATGAGTACAGTTACTTCTGGTTTCCTGGGGGTTGCCAGCATGGCAGAAAGCTTAGGGCCTCATCCTTCCTAAATCTGCAGATGACCGACTTTACCCTAAATGGTCTGTGGCCTCTTAGGAAAAGCCACCTGCACGTGAGACCCAGGGGTCAGGACTTCAGTGACCCCTGGTCAGCTGAGCCAGCCTGTGTGGCCCTGAGATAGTTCGGACTTGTAAGCTGTGAATTCAGTTGCCAGTGCGTCGTGGCGTAGTCTTGATGAATGGAACTGCTCACTCTCTGCAGAGACATCTGAGGTTACAGCTGGACCAACTGTCGAGACAGCCAGCAGATAGCAGTCCTGCGTCCGAGTCCTTGAAGCCTAGACCTTGAGCTGCTAGAACTACTTCACTACTTGTATTTTCTGTTGAATATTCTCAGAAAGGTTTTAACTTTTGACGTATATGTTTGTATCCTTATGTAATTAAAAAAGTGACAAGGCAAGAAAAGGAAATTAAAGGCATAGAAATTGAAAAGGAAGGAATAAAAATGCGTTTGCACATGTCATAATTTTCTATGTAGAAAATCCCAAATGATCCACAAAAAACCATCCTAGACTAGTAAATTTAGTAAAGTTGCAGGATACAAGGGGAAATATTTTTAATTATTTCTAAGTCTATATAGTAGCAGTGAACAGTTGAGTTTTGTGGTGGGAGGTAATTAGATTTGTTTATTTTTTTATTGGAGGTACTGGGGATTGAACCCAGGACCTTGTGTGTGCTAGGCGGGCACTCTACCGCTGAGCTGAAGCCTCCCCTCTGAACAATTAAGGTTTGAAAAACATCTTAAAACACTTTATAATAGCACAGAAAAGTGAGATACAAGGTACTTGCAGGATCTCTGTGCTGAAACTATAAGACCACTGAAAGAAGTCTTTAACAGGTATAAATGCATGTTTGTGGATCAGAAGGCTCAGTGTTGCTGAATGTTGACAAGCTGGTCCTAGAGTTTATGTGGAAAGGCAAGGGGACTAGAATGACCGAAACAGTTTCGAAAAAGAGGAACCAAGCTGGAAGACTCACAGTGCCCTGTTCACTGGCAAAGGACAGCACGTAGGCCAGTGGAGTAGGAGAGAGCCCTGAAACACAGCCTTGGGAGCCAGATCCTTGTCCAGCCTGGCCGGACCCAGGGGAGGGTTCAGACCACTGGTCGCCCATCAGCAAAAGCAGAACCTCACCCACACCTCAGGTCCCACGCAGAAATCCATCAAAGTGGGCCACAGGCCTAAATGGAAAATGGAAAACTACAAACTCCCTGGAAGAAAATTCAGAAGGAGATGTGCGTGACTTTAGGTTAGGCAGCATGTGTTCAGATGCGCAGTCAGAAGCATGATTCACAAAGGGGAAAACTGATAAATTGGGCTGTGCCGTAATAATTAAAAACTTTTTTTCTGTGAGTGACACTTAAAAAAATGAAAGAAACCCACAGACCAGTAGAAAATATTTGCAAGTCACACTTTTGACAGAGGACTTGTACCCACAATATATGAAGAACCCTCAAAACTCAAAAAGAAGACAACCCAAGGTTTTAAATGGGCCAAGACCTGAAGTGACACCACACCAAATGTGACGGCAGTTACCGACTTTGTGGGAAGATGCTCAGCACTGTTTCTCATCGGGGAGTAAGTGCGAGGCACCACGGCTCCTAGAAGCACCAGTGCCGGAGCCCTGGGGCCTCCTCGTGCCGCTGGGAGCACAGCCACTTGGAAGACGGTCCACGGACTCCTGTCAAAGTCACACTCACGGCCCGGCCATCACACTCAGGAGAACACGTGTTCACACAGAATCACGGCAGCTTGGTCTACCTGCCAGGGCTGAAGCCACCAGGCGCCCTTCCCGCGGCGGGGGTTGGGGGGCGGGTGCAGCGCTAAGCAGGGTCTGGTTGGCAGACGGAGGAGGAACCACAGGCGAGCCTTCAGTGCACCTGAGCACCAGAGTCCACGGCCAGTGCGATGCCCCCTGGGAAACAGAACTGCGGGAACAGGGAACAACAGATGGGTGGCTGCCAGTGACTGGGGGTGAGGGGTGCCTGCAAGGGTGCAAGTGGGGAAGCTTGGGGGTGAAGGACGGCCCGTCGGCACCGTGGTGGGAGCGTGACTGCATGTCAGGACCCACAGAACCGCCCATCCAGGAGCTAGGTGCAGACTGTGCTCCCGGCCCTGACCGCAGACATGGGCCGTGAGTCATGTAACCACACGGGAGGGGGACGGCCCCAGGTGACTTGGGGGAGCATCTGGGAGCCCCCGGGAGGCTGGAGGCAGAAGGACCCACACGCCAGCCTGGGCGGCAGGTGGTCCATCCCTCACAGGGAAACTGCTGGGGCCCTGGGCCACGGCTGCCCTCCCTGCCTGGGGGCCTGGGTCTTTCTAGAAGTTGCCCCCAGCGGCTTGAGTGTGCGTTCGGCTCCAGTAACCAAGCTCTTCCACTGTTTCCCCAGGGGAGATCCTTATCCTTTAAGACCTTCCTCGTCTGGGTTTTAATCAGTGTCTACCAAGGTAAGACGGGCCTTGCCCTCCTGGACGGAAGGCTTCTTGCCCTCCAGTCGCAGCATCGTGTTCCCCTCCTGGCTGACGTTCAACAGCTTGGAATGTCATCGGCAGTTGAGCGTTGCCTTCTGCTGATCTCGTAAACCGACCCTCCAGCAGCTGGTCCTGCCGACCTCTTCACAGGAGACGTGGGTTGGCACCTTCTCCTGGTGCTTGTCACCTAAAAACTGACCTGTTTTTAAATAAATGACAGTCCCCAAAATTTAATAAACACTTATCACGCTGTCTGCCCCACACAGTGGCTTGCTTTCTGGTGTGGCAGGAGGACTTGGAGACATCTGAATTACGTAGTCAGAAGCAGTCTGCTGCGCTCACTCGGTGTCCCAGACAAACCAGAGACTGCTGCTGTGTCTCTGGCGGGCGGGCCTGCCGGGTCCCACTGAGCGTGTAGCCGCTGCGGTAGTCCAAGTGCAGGTGTGCTCCCCTCCAGGTGTCAGCGCTCTGAAGCCTCTGTTTGATGTCTCTGGCTGATCCAGCCAGTCCACGTCTGTCCTATTCCTAATGCAGAGTTTAAGCACATCACTGACCATGGATGCACGCAGCCCCAGACCCTCAGTGTTGCTGGTGTCAGCTCCCTCCCTGGGCGCCCTCCCGCCACTTGCCCGGTACAGAGTGTCCGCCCAGGTGAAAAGCATGGCGTCAGAAGCCCTGCCCACCCTCGCTGTTTTCCAGGCGGCATCCTCATGTATGGGGCCCTGGTGCTCTTCGAGTCTGAGTTTGTGCACGTCGTGGCCATCTCCTTCACGGCCCTCATCCTCACGGAGCTGCTGATGGTGGCCCTGACCGTCAGGACGTGGCACTGGCTGATGGTTGTGGCCCAGTTCCTCAGCCTCGGCTGCTACGTGGCCTCGCTTGCTTTTCTAAATGAATATTTTGGTAAGTTGCCATGGAATTCTTCTTTGAATAATTGTCTGTTACTGCTTTCTAAACATTTTCTTGCTATCACTTCTTAAGACATTATCTTAGACTGTGGATCAGAATAAAACCCACATCAGACCTCACAACACAGACGCCTATTTTTGTGAAGGACTTAACTTCCTGCAGGGACACGTAAAACTCAGGTTTTCACTCTTGGCTTTAAAATGATACTGAAGTTGTGCTGGTTCTCCCAAAAGAGCCGTGTTGTTTGTCCCTTTTCCTGATCGAAGCAGCTGAGGCTGCAGGGGAGAGGGACGGAGCCCAGAACCCCAGGGGTCACCCTCCCTGCCGCCTTGTTTCCCCCAGGCCGTGGGCACCGTGCCTGAGGCTCCACCCTGGGCAGCCCAGCTGCCCGGCAGACCGCGGTGAATTCGGGGCCGTGCGACCACGAGGAAGCAGCCTGTCCACTGTGTGTGCACTGGGCACAGGCTGGCGGCCATGGCCTCCCCCGGCACTGCAGACGGAGGACAGGGTGGTCAGACTCACTCCCTGACAGCCGAGGAGTTACCCCAACCTTGCCCCTCAGGGGACCAGCGTCGCCTGTGCCCCTGCAAGACGTGCTCAGCCCCTTCCCAAGACCCACCTCCCCTGGCCCCCCGCACCTGACCCTGATCAGACCCAGCTCTTCCCCTCCCTCATCAGAGAGGCCATCCTGAGGCAAAGTGGGTAGCTCCCTCTGTTCCGGACACCAGCCGTCTAGGGCAGGCGGACTTCCTGGACAGAGAGATGAGCCTCCAGGCCCGTCAGGTAGGGGAAGCAGTGTCCCGTGGTTCTGTGGTCAACGTCATTGTAACTACAGCCACGGATTATGAACCATCTCCTCCTTCACTCCGGGTTGCTCTTTAGATGGTGTCTGTTCAGGCAAGTTTAACGTAGGGATTTATGAATTTTGTTCCTTTTCTGTAACTTTAACGTTATAAATGGGAGAGACATAAGAGGGTCATTAAAGTAGAAGTTGGGTGAAGAGATGGGGAAAATATTAAAAATGCATATTTTTGTGTTAAAAGACACAGTCACCAAAAAAATAGCTCTGGCATGTAAGAAATGGTTATTTTCACATGGTCATCGCTCAGTTATTTTGTTTTAAGGGTAAACATTTGTTTTCCTGTGTGAACGTGAGTTAGTGTGGTCAGCATGCGAGCGATGCTCCGACCTCGGGGCCTCTCACTTGGGCCCAGGCCCCCACTCCAGCACCGACGTGTAGGCCTGGAGCCAGAGCCAACAATGGGGTGGGGGTGG